AATACTCATTAATTTTACGATACTTTTCTAAATAAATTTTTATAACTTTCTTCCAATCTTCATCCATCGTCTCTTCTTCCTGGTCTCGGGTTTTGTCAGTCCTTTCTATCCCATCTGGTCCATCAACCTGGTGACCTTGTATCCGAGGCTCTTAAGTCTTTTCCATGTCCCTTTTCCATGTCCCTTCCGCAGGTCTTCTTCATGTTTATACCTGTACTTTACTTTGTCTTCTGCTGATCTTATTCTTAATTTCCTTCCTTTCACTCGGGGAGACTCCAACTTGACAATATCTTTGTCCCTTCTCGACAAGTCAGCCCCTTTTCCATAGTCCACACTGAAATCCATATGATATTTAAAGGCATGTTTCAAAGTCCCTCCAAAGTTAAGGGCCCCCACAACTCTGAACTCCCCCCGGCCCAAAGCCAGACTCGAAAGGTCAAAACATCCCTGCATAGGGGGATCCATCCAACCCCCCATCTCCAAGCCAAACAGAACTCCATCTCTCCAAATCTGACTTTCCCCAGGTTCATTCGTCAAATCCAACAACTCATGTTCCTGCTGGGCCGCAGCTCTCTCCCTTTCTGTTACTTGAGATTCAGCAACATCCTCCTCCTTTATCTGATCTGTCAAAGCACATTCCTGGGTTAATTCCTGAGTGGGTTCTATATAGGTACCCACTGCCTGTCCAAAATTTCCAATCGCAACAGTCATCAAATCCATCTTCTCATGTAACTGTTCCAATAAAGCACTTGTCTTGCAAAAAGCAAGCACCAAAGCCTCCTCTAAGCACATTCTTGTTCAAGGTCGAAGTCTGGTCCCACGATCTTTAATCTCTACAGCTGCAAAGCTCCCCAGTTCAACTCTAAATAACAGTTTCACAAGCTCCCTCTAGGGGAAACAATTTCTATTTGTACCCATCTTTTTTTTTTTTTAATAAGCAGATCTAGCAACAAAGTTTTCCTTTTTCGGATATTTTGTTCCTTTTAAATGCGAAAGGGAACAATGGAATCAATATGTTTGTCTTCTTTTGACTATCTGTCAAAAACGTTTGTCCATAGTCAATGAACTTCCCCAAAACGTCTGTCCTGACACCCCGCTCCCAGGTTCAAGACAGTGGAAATTTACCTTTCTTTACTCTCTCTTCTGCAGGTTTAAACAATCTAAAAAAAGGTTCCCCCCTCTTCTCCTGCTTCCACGGGAGGTTCAGTAATTTTAAATGGTGAAAATTTAATCCTTTACAAATGACTTTCCAGACTCTAGCTTACGATGTCTTTGCTTCAAACTGTTTACAAAAGCGGAAGGCCGACTTCCTGTTTAGACCTTCCCGCTCTGGTGCCAAATTACAAAGTTTAGTAATCCAATTTTCTGTTCTACTCACGGGTACTTGTTTAGAGTCCAATTGTCCACAGGAAAAAAGTCAGCGCTCTCCGACAACAGCAATGCGGCTTCACTCCGTGAAAAGAGCAATCGATTCGAAGCACCGCGCCACTCACCCCACGTCGCTCCGGATCCCTGAAACCGGGTTTCCCCGCGAGTAGGGGAGGCGCTGAAGGTGCCAGCCGAACCCCAGGTCCACAGGCTTCTCCCGCCTGTGGTTTTTGATGGGTCTCCGCCTCGCTGTGGCGGTCCAGACCCTAATTTTCACGGAGCGGGTTCCTCCGGATCAGAGGAAGCCCGCCATTGTCGGTGGCGCTAACCCAGAAGTGTCTCTGCATTTATTTTGGGCTGACCTATGGTCAAGGCAATGAAATGATTGATGAGGATGGAAATCAAAAGAACACCATGAAAAGCAGCCTATTTTATTCAAGCTATCTTCCCTCTCTAAGAAACAAATGTATCCATAGTGGTCCATAAGGACTCTAAAGCTTGCAAACTACTTTTTTAATGTTTTGGTTGATCCTAATGAAGATCCCAACTGTGGCTCTTGGAGTCCCTTTCACCCCTTTACTAAGGAATATACCAGGTTAGCATCCTCCTGGAGTCTTTTTTCCAAGCTCCTGGCTTCCAAGCTCATCTGTCCGTGTGGTGCAAGGTAAGTCTTGGGATCCCTGAATAATACTTGGTAGGAGCATCATCAAGCAGACATCCTCTGTTCACTCACAACAAAGGACTGGTTGCCATAAGGATGGGATTTTGCCTCAACCTCCACTCAGAAATCAGGAGGATTAACCGAGGGAAGTGTGGAGAGTGGCAACACAAAAACAGGCCTTTTCAGTGGTAGCCCCCTGTCAGTTGAATGCTCACCTGGGGAGGCATGCCTGACACTGTCATTAGCTGTTTTTAGGTGCCAGGCAAAAACACTATTACTCACCCAGGCCTTTGGATCTCAATTTATCAGAGTGGGGTTGGAGTTGGACCTCTGTTGTTTTTTTTTTTTCATTCAGCTAACCAGGTGTGTTCATAGTCAATTTCTAATCCAGGGATATCTCGCTCTCATTCTGGTAGTAATCATTTTGGTTCCCTTGTGTTGTTTAAAGACATTTCTAATATGGCATCCGAACAGTTTGATTCTAGTGATGAGTAAAGTTCACTCAGTCTGAGAACTGGTTTTATTTATCTCTCAGTCTCTCCCTCAACCATCCTAGATGTCTTTCTGTAAGCCCAAATAGTCATCCCTTTCACCATGTTATTTGTTATTTAGTGGCAGCAACTTCTGGCAGCAAGAGCTCTGGAACATGAAGTTTCCAGGAATATAGCATCCATACAAATAGTTCAGGTTCCCCCTGCTACAAAAAAACAAAAACACATTCCCCATTCTCCCTGGTGTCTAGGACAACGGTGCAGGGATTATCAAAGCAACACAGGGAGGGAGGCTGGGAACTGCTACCATCGTTGTCAGGTCATATAAGAGAGTGGCAGGAGAAAAGGAAGAATGAGGAGGAAAGGGATTTCCCCTCAGCTTGGACTACAATCCAGACAATCTGTGCAGCTTCATTATTTCTAATGAGTATTTGCCTGCACTACTGGCTCAGTGGTTGATCTATATTCTCCACAAATTAGAACATCAGTACTGCAAAGCTAACAGAAAATGCACTCAAGGGTGAGTGGGTGGGTGGGTGAGTGAGCGAGACATTGAGTGAGTGTGCTGTTCAGCTGTGGTTTAATTAATGAAAAGAACAGCTAGATGCCTATGCTATCCTAAGAGTCAAAGGTATCTCTGTTCCTTTAGCTTTAAAAGCACTGTTAACTTCTAGTAAATAATTTTTTTAAAAAAAGATGTTTAGACCCTGGGCATATTTTTTCCTGTGGTGTCACAGTTCTAATTACTACGTGCAACATCTTCCTAGTCTCCAGCTTTATCACTCGAAAATATAACAAGAGAGGGAGATCTATTTTGAAGTTTCTTTGAACTTCATAAGTCAATGGTTTCTTATATAACTGTAATAAAAACCTCTGGGAAAGAACCTATTATGAGGACTGTGTCAGCAATTTTGGCTTATTACAGATGGCTTGTTCCCCTTTCCGCATAACTATTTAATGAATTTAAACTAAAGATTGTATAATTTCATAGCTGATAGCAACCCTGAGCTTTTCTCACCACGTTTTTTTAAAACTGAAATTACAGACCAATTTAGTAAAGGGATTTAATGAAGAAAATAATTCTTAAATGCTGCTGAGCTGTGTTTGCCTTCAGTCATTTTACTTGGGAGTCAGCAGCCGGTTGGATCTTGCAGCAGCTGTTTCCGGAAGCCTAAGCAGCTTTTAAAATTATGTCAGACCTCGAAACACCACAGAAACATGCAGGATGTGGTAACAGAACTCAACTTATCTTCTCTCGAATGGGTTAGAAGCATTTCAGCTGTGCTCAAAGAAAGTTTCTATTTCTAAATAGTTTGCCACTATGTCTTAGGAATAATTCCAAGACCCACCTATGCACCCTTAAACATTTATGCTATTTCCCCCCAGGTGTCAATCTTGTCATTGTTCCAACACTAGGTATTTGGACTAAACCACTGATATGATATTGCATTGTGAAGTCCGTTTTAAGTAGGGTTGTGTGATTTTATTATTCTGTGTTTCCCCCCCTTTGCTGTAGGGATGAGCAAGAAATTTTATTTAAAGGTGAATCTATAAAATTGTCACTTTTGAAAACAGTATGATTACAGAAACACAACCACCCCCCAAAATTCACGTATATCTGAATTTTGTTATGCAGTTCTCCAACCAACCCATATTTACAGAAATGCACAAGTTAGGGGAAAGTGTGCATAAAATGAAGATATTAGTGAAAACAACATATAAAAATGCATTATATTAGGGAAACTTATGTACAAAATATGCTTATTAGAAAAAAAATTGCCCTAAAATGCTAACAAATTATGCAACATTCTCGAAATTTTAGCAGAAATATGGAGAACTGAAGTTGAAAATTGCTTTAGGACTTTTTTTTCTTTTTTTGTGGGAAGTGTGAGATAAATTTAATAAATATACACATACATGCATATCCTAGGCTCCGCTGTTTGTTTGTTTGTGTTTGTTTGTTTGTTTTCTCCATTTATTATTAGTTACTTCATATTCTCCTGGCGACATACAACTGTATACAACTAACCTAAAAAAACCCTAAACGTGACCATATAAGAATAAAGCCATAAAACCCCAAAATAAGCTTCTAACCTAGCTTGCACAAAACCTAACCAGCCTCCAATCTAGTTAACCCAACAACGAAACAGAGCCCCAAACATGCCAATCACAATCAATTTGCAGAGGCTAAAATGAATGAAGTTAAATAATGATAAAATACCATCCAATGGTGTTTAAAATTATATGGTGTTAGAAGACCTGGGAGAATAAAAATGGTTTCTTTTTTTACCTGGCATTAAAAAGACTCTAAGGTATTATGAAAATAATGAGCTCACTTTCTCTTTCTGTGTGAAAGTGGTTGCTTAACGCCAATAGGTCCAAAGCAAGCATAAAATATACTTATCTGGCACATATATCCCCATCTTTTGACTAGTGCATTCCTATGCATACTCACTCACTGACCACAATGGGAACACAAAGGGCCATAGTTTGGTGGTAGATAATCTGCTTTGCATGCTGAAGGTCCCAGGTTCAATTCCTGCCATCTTCAGGTATGGCTGGGAAATATTTTCCTCCCTCAAACCCTGGAGAGCCACTGCCAGTCAATGTAAACAAAATTGAGTTAGATGTTGAAATATGAGACGTATCCCACCAGTTCCTGAAGATACACCCATTTAAGTGAGCAGTCCCTTGGAATGAACTTCTGATCTTATCATCAGGGGTCAGCAAACTTTTTCAGTGGGGGGCCTGTCCCTCAGACTTTGTGGGGGGCTGGACTATATTTTTTTTGGGGGGGAATGAACAAATTCCTGTGCCCCACAAATAACCCAGAGATGCATTTTAAATAAAAGGACACAATCTCCTCATGTAGAAACACACTGATTCTCGGACCGTCTGCAGGCCAGATTTAGAAGGTGATTGGGCCAGATCCAGTCCCCGGGCCTTAATTTGCCGACCCATGCTTTAGCTGTTGTTGTTTTTAAACTGTTTTTATTGCCATGCATTTTAATGACCTGGTCCCAATGTGATGTCATCAGCATCTTAGGTTTGGGGTGCTAATTTCATTTGGCACCAAAGTATCTGCAGAGGTGAGGCACAACACTTCCCTCCCCAGTTATGATCCCTCCCAAAAATATACCCTGCACAACAATTAATCTCAGAAAAATATAACATCTGATCGCCCTCCCTCACGGCAGGCTGCCAGTAATGGAAAAAGCAAGAAGCTCTTACCAAGGTATTTTATTCAATATTCACAGAGAGACATGTAGGCTGCCGTCTCTAGGATAATGGCATTGCTCCGAGTAAAGTCCCACCCCCTCCATCTCTCCTATTATACTCATGGCTGTGGCTAGGGGGTGGTGTGGTGAGCCTCCTCCAGGGGCGCAGGCGAGGGGGAGTGCAAAATCGGCTATAATATGTCTATAAATAAAAATATCAATTATTGCCTCATAAGAAAAGGTTTTAAATAGAGGGTGAATTGAAGGGGTGGAGGAGAGGCGGGAAAAAGAACTAATTTGTCCATGGCTAGGGGGTGCAATCTGGATGGTTCTGCCAGGGGCACAAGAACGCCTAGCTACGGCTCTGATTATATGTCATCTGTGTGTTGGCTGCTCTGTGCTTTCTGCCTCTGAACTTTCTGTTCTCCTACTCTCAATGCCCACCAGGTCCTGGGAGAAGGGGGTTCTGGAATGCTTTCTAAAGACATTGAGTCTGTCAGCTGTCTCTCCCCTGGTGCTTCTTCTTCCTCCTGCTCCTCTTCCAATATTTCCCAGCTTCTCCCCTCTGCAGCCTCTGAACCAAGACCTTCTGCAAACCACTGTTCTAAATCTATACTGTCTCCATCTTCTCTGCAAAGTGCAGGAGAAGGGGGGAGCAATCTCCTACCATTCCTCCTCTGACGTCCAGTCCCTGACAATAAGCTATAATCCTTATAGCTTCAGGGGGTCAGTTTCTCAGGATTGTGGCTAGGATCACATGTACTATACTCCCGATAAAGCCATCACCATCACACAGGATGGCATGCAATGAAGTCCCACCTGCACAGCAGAAATCTGCACAATGAAAGTACTGATTTATCTTTTCCAATTCCAGCAGCATGCATGCCCTCAAAATCTGACCCAGAGGGCCCCCAATACTGTGGAGCAGATTTTTGAGGTGCGCAAGGAGGTGCATTTGAGGAAGGATAAACCCAGCTACATGAATGAACACCCATTCCTAGTATTTTTTAAATTAAAAACAAAATACAAGAGTGACACAGGGACGGGGGCGGGGATCTAAGGAGGATTCTGGAGTTCACCCAGTGGCTACCAAAGTGAAATTTCAACACAAATTTGGATATTTCTGTTTTGACAATACATCTAGAGAATTTCAAGAGAATTACAAAAGGGGTTTAATAAGACTAGACTGAAGACTCTCTCAGCTACTAGATGTCATTAGAACATAGGAATGAATATTATGCATCTCTGAGTCAACTTTTTAGTCACTTAATACAAAAGTAAAAATATATATCTCTAAGTGACTTCCTAAAAAAAATAATGATGCATCTGGAAAGTTGGCAAGTCTCTTTGTATTGAATGGATAGAGTTATGAAAACTCCTGGCAAAACTTTCTAGATTCTTCCTTCTCAGCATGACCTTTCTGTTATTGTTTTTGTACAAAGGAGCTGCTGAAGACATAATATTTGGACCAAGTCATAGATGTGCCTTAGGCGGAAATACAATGGGTCTTGTATGCCTGAGGCCAATTTGAGCTCTTTGTAAAACCCATTGTTGTTTATTGCAGAGTTCTGTTACCTGTGGGCCAGAAGCCATGAAGTCAACCTCAGCAAAAATGAGGGTGATATCCTTCCTTGGCATTATTACGTAGACTGGAATGACAGTACTTTGACTTCAAATGAGAAACAGCATTTAATGAAAGTGGGACGCTTAGAGATGTTTTGACATTTACGTAATAGTACAGTTTCTTTCTAGAGTGTTTACAGTACTATCTTATAGGACTTCTAAGATCCACTTGGTATCATGTGGAGCTTATTAGCCTGATCAGATAACAGGAATGGGTGCCATTAAAAAAAAAAACAACCTTAGAAAAAGCGTAATATAGAATAAGAGTCAGGAACTGGGAGAAAGATTCTATATGATCATATATATCAGTTCTCTGTATATCAACAGAAGTCTTAGCCCACCTTAAACATTGGTTTTATGCTACTAATGGATCAGTAATGGGTTTTCTGACAATCTCATCACACATTACATGGCAAAATCAAACTGCCATAAACAAATATATAGGTTGTCTCCAATGTAGTGCTACAAGGAATCCCATTAGCACAAGGATTTCTGCTTGCACTATGGAAAGCCCCTCTCTCCTCCCCCAAGTGGCCCTAAATCTCTCCCAAATCCTCTGAAGCAGATTTTAAGAGGCCATGGGGAGGACATAAGGGGAGGAGAGGAGAGAGAGTCCCATATTTACAGAAAGTTCCATTTTACATTGCCTGAGGAATAGCAAGGCAAATCAATGAATGGCTAGCCCAATATCACTTGGTGAATTTGAGATCCAGAATTATTAAGCAGAAATAACTCAAGGTGTGTTGTGGCACACCCGTAGACTGACTACTGCTCACAGTTGAACCACTGCAGTTTTTATTTACCCACACACCTGGAATTAAGAAGCAGAGTTCTCCTTGGGAGACACAACATGGTAGAGCATGAGACTCTTAATAGGGTTTTTGAACAAAAGTTGTGCTTTCAGGGGACCTCAAAATGCTCCTTGAGAACCCACTACCTTTTGGACTCACCTATTCATATGTATGATATGTTGTGGCTGTTACAGCATCCTTTTTTTTTTTTTTTGGAGGGTTTCTTTCTTCTACACAGAGTGATCTCAGCCAATATGGGATAACATAGCGAAGACAATGATACCATGACACTATGTAGCAAATCAGATTTGATTTCACTCTGAAAGTGAATAAAGTTTATTCAAAGAAAGTGTACCACTTTTTGGGTCAGTGACAGCAATGAGCCTAGCCAACCAGAAACATTAGGGCCAAGCCTATTTGGGGCAAGGCTTGCTAAACAGGTGAATCCTTTATCCATTTTGCAGTGATCCATGAAGGAACATAGAAGACGAGGCATGCCTTTTGAGGCTGATGAAAACATAATCAAAAAATTGTATCTCCCCTTCCTTTGGGTTCAGTCCTAACAGTAACTCTTACAGAATCTAATATTTCAGGAATGACCTTTTTGACAAGGTCACTGTATCTCCCCTCAAATAAAGCCTCCAGTTGCCCATAACCATTTATCAACTGCCTCTGACAGTTTCTCTGTCTCTCTATTCCTCTTCAAACAATCTCCATGATTACATAGTGCCTTCAAACAGTCTGTCTCAATGTAACACATATAAAATGAATTAGTACACAGAAAAAATGCCTTCGAACAACTACTCCCTATATTTCATCAACTAAAAATGAATGGGCACAAGCAATTATGAAGCACTGAAGTTATAAACAGCTCACAGTGTGCTGTCAACCCATCCAAAACACGTAACTTAGAGGGAGGTGCTCCATCACCTTTTGCGTGTCTTTTGAGTCCTAAAATTATTTAAATTTTTAGATGTAACTTATGTGATCTGATAATTGTCCAAGAATGCAAGCAGTCAGGGCCGTCTTAACCGTTGGTGCTAGGGGTGCATGGCACCTGGGCACTGGGCTCTCAGGGACGCCAGGCCGAGAGTCCGGGGCCGAGCGTTGGAGCAGAGCAGAGCAGAGCCTGTTGGAGCGCCGCTGGCTCTTCTGCTGCGGCCGGCTCTTCCCCGGACTCCAACGTTTGCCCTCAAACTCACGCCAAGCAGCCCGCAGCAGAAGAGCCCACCACTCAGCTGCATGGCGGCTAACTGTTTTGGCGCCGCGCCCAGAGCACCATGTAATGTTGTGGGTGCTGCGTGATGCATCTTGTTGCATGCGCCAAACTGTGGGTTCCTTTGCTGACTTTTCTGCTGTCAGAGCATGCTCCCAGCACCACCCAACATGGGGTGCCAGTGCAGAACGATGGGGAATGCAAGTGGCAGCGGAGGAAACATCTCCGGACAGGATCCGCCGTGCGCTGACAGCGCCAACGGCAGTAACAAAACCCGATGACTAATAGGAGTCCGACTGTGCAGTCTGACATTTTGTGTGTCCCCCCCCAGCATGGAACCCGCCCCCACCTTCGTACGCCCCTGTGCATGGGGCACTGGCACCGCCGTTGGTTGGTACTGTGAGTCCCTGTGTCCCACAACCATTCTAAACTATTTCCTTTAAAAAAGGTCAACAACTTTGGGCAACCTAGGGGTGCCAGGCAGATCTTTGCACCCCGGTGCCGCATATGCTTAAGACAGCCCTGCAAGCAGTGATTCCTATCCACAATGCAAGAGAGGATGCTTAGGAAAATAGGCAGTAAGAGGAAATGTCTATGTTGCTCAGAGGTGGGGAGTCTGTGGCCTGCCAATTTTTGTTGGACTACAGCCTCCATCATCCCTGGCCATGGGCCATGATGACAGGAACCAATGGGGGCCCAGGAT